GGCCATACCTTCTTCTGGGAGCCTATATACAGGACATGGAAGGAAGAAGTCTCTTTGACTGCTTGCTCTTGCCCTCACTAGCAAGCCCACTCCTTCACTGGCATTAGAGCCTGCACTGGCTGGTTTTGTGTGTCAACTTGACACAAGCTGGAGTTACCACAGAGAAAGGAGCCTCAGTTGAGGAAATGTCTCCATGACATCCAGCGATAAGACATTTTCTCAATTAGAGATCAAGGGGAAGGGCCCAGGCCATTGTGGAAGGTGCCATCCCTGGGCTGGCAGTCCTGGGTGCTAAGAAGAAAGCAAGCTGAGCAAGTCAGGGGAGGCAATCCAGTAAGCAGCATTCCTCCATGGTTTCTGCGTCAGCTCCTGCCTCCAGGTTCCTGACCTGCTTGAGTTCCTGTCCTGACTTCCTTTGGTGATGAACAGCAGTGTGGAAGTGTAAGCTAAATAAACCCTTTCCTCCCCAACTTGCTACTTGGTCATGATGTTTTGTGCAGGAATAGGAACCCTGATTAAGACAAGTTGGTACCAGCATAGTGGGGTATTCCTGTGATACCCTGACCATGTTTGGGGAGGACTGTGGAAGGACTTTGGAACTTTGGGCTAGAAGACCATTGGGTGTTAAGAGCTCTGTGGGATGTTCTGTAGGAGCTTGGAAGATAACGTTGAGAACAGTGCAAATGACGGAAGTCTAGCTTGTGAAATTTCAGAGAGAAGATTAAAGACTCCTATCAGGGCTGTTGCTGTTTTGATTGTGAAGATTCTGTGGTTTTGGTCAGCTGGGGCTGAAGAATCAGCTGTGATTAACAAGATACCAGAACTACTAAAGCAAAATCTTTGCATTACTGGGACAATTGATGCTGGTTAGCTGGAGCTAAGAAATTAGTGGTGATTAAGAAGAGACCAGCATCATTGAGGTGAAATCTTCTGGGAAGTGTCTCCTGAGAGTCCAGAGTATATATGTTCATTTCATAAGTTCGGCTAGTCTAGAGAAACCTGATTAATAACCTGTGTTGCTTATCATTCTGTCAACACAATTACAATCTGAGATGAGGGACCCTCAATTGAGAAAATGCCTCCATCAGATTAGGCTATAGACACATCTATAGGATATTTCTCTTTTAATTAATGATTGATGTGGGAGGGTCTGGCCCTTTGGCGGCTGTACCAACCCTGAGCAGGTAGTCTTTGGTTGTATGAGAGAGTGAATTGAGCAAGTGTCTCTCCGAGCCCTCTGCTTCCGCTTCTTCCTTAGGCTCCTGCCTAGTTTTCCTGCTCTGCTGTCCCTCAGTGAAGCATCGTGATTGGGTCATGTAAGCCAAATAAACCCTTTCCTCCTAAAGTTCCTTTTGATCATGATGTTTATCACAGCAACAGAAAGCAAACTAGGAAAAGCCCCTCCCCTGGCCTTTGAGTTCCTGTCCATTGCCCAGGTTTGATTTTTCTCACGCCTTTTAACCCTTTGTAGCCATTCTATAACTATGTATGTACATCAGATACATCTATTGCTCTCAAATATGTAATCAGAGAGTTAATTCCAGTAATTAAGACTAGAGTATTTAAACAGGTATTTGTCTCTGCCAGGGCTAGGAAGGAAAACAGGACCATATGGCAAATTGCTGCCCGTGAAAACACTCCACCCTGTGAATTTATTTTACAATGCATTCTGACATTGTAGAAAGACATAAACACAGCCGTCCCTTTCTGACAAAGCACACACATGACAGCTACGTAGCAATACCCTCTTGTAATACAAATAAGAACAACGACAAGCAAGCAGAACAAGAGAAAGTCTGTCAGAGTGTCGGGGCCGTGTCACATTCAAACCATCACAGCTCCTTGCTTGGTTAGCTTCCTGGCTCCCTGGTGATTGGAGATTTCCTAAAGTCCTTCCTGTGTTTAGAGTTGAGGCTGTGTGGGCTTGTCTTCAATTCCCAGGCGGACATTGGCAACTTCCTTAAGCTTACACCCTGCTTCCCCTAAGGCTCAGGATTAGCTGGAGGTGGGAAACTGGGGACTATTTCCACTCTTTCCCGGGCATGAGCTCTGTTGTGTTCACAGGAAAATCTTTTCAGAATTTCAAAACTATTTCTCATCTTCTCAGCTCCTTCTGCTATGGACATCTCACTTCTCATGTATACATTTTTTTTATTATTAATTGTTTTTATGTGTATGGATGTTTTGCCTGCATGTATATTTATGCGCCACATGCATGGCTGGTGACTGTGGAGACCAGAAGAGGGCATTGGCTCCCTCGTAGTGTGAGTTACAAATGGTTAGATGGTTTGAACTGATGTGCTCCTCATCATCTGACACAGGGTTTGTTAGAAAGAGTTCACCTCATTTTCAGGGTCTGAAGTGGGCCTTGGGAATTTATATTTTTTATTTTTAATTGTGAATATGTACTACAGGTATGCATGCACCCGTGTGTGTGTGCACCACAGAGCATGCATGGGTGAGTGGTGGAACTCAAGACAATTTGCAGAAATTGGTTCTCTTCGTCCACCACATTAAACATGGGGGTTGAACTCAGGTCCTCGGGCTTGATGGTAAGTGGTGTCAGCCATTACCTGCTAAGCCTATCTGGCCCCTTGCATATTTTCGAGAAAAGAATGAAGCTGTTTCGAGAGTTATTAGCCTGAGCTCTGGTAACCCTGGTAGGCTAGACTCAGCCACAGACTCTTACTAGGCCAATTCAACAAACAATAGTGAAAAAAACATTTATCCAGTGTGAGGATACCTGGGAGAGGAACAAGAAGATCCGATGGCATCCTATAGCACCCTTCAAACCTCCCAGTCCATCTTTCCCAGGTCCTAACATGAGAATTCCAGTTAAGTGTAGCAGCAGGTCTGTGTAGCTGAGCAGACCCGGTCAAGGTCACTCATGTTCTTCCTCATTGTCTAGTCTTTGCTGCAATGTTCTGAAAAGTCTCGAGAGATGTGTGAGGTCTGTTTCTGGGAGACAGCTCCATTTCTGGCTGACACCAGATTTCCCAACCTTTTCTTCCTTCCAGCATGAGAGATTTATTTGAGACAATTGCCGTTTCTTAGATTGTGTTATCTCAGTAGTTTGACAGTTAAAAGGAGGGCCACTCCCATCTCCTTGGAATATTTTCATTCCCACAAAGATGTTTACATTGTTGGTGTTTGGGGCTGCAATGTCAAGAATGTTAAAAGACTGGTACACTTTGCCAAGGCTAAGTCTCTCATGCTGTCTCGTGTAGGGAACGCTCACTGCCGTATTTGTCCACAAACTCGGTCCCACCTTTCCTTGCTAATCTTCATTCTGTGGTGGAATGGGGGTATCTGTCAGCACAGTAAAAAACATGACTGGTCTTTTCATATTACTCAGAATAAGCAAGACTCAAGGGACAAATATTGGAACTCTGATCAGATTCGTTGCTATCTTGAATGACTGTTGAAATGAGACTAGTGTTTATTTTTAAACTTGTAAATTAAAAAAAATTGGGTGCTATTGCTTTGAAAACCCTCTTTAGCTTGATAATACATGGCTGTACAGGCTAGTTTTGGGGTGAGGGTTGTTGTTAGGTTGACACAAGCTAGAATCATCTGGAAAGAGAGAATGTCAGTTGAGAAAAGACCTTGATCAAATTGCAATATAGGCATCTCTGTAGGGGCATTTTCTTAATGATTGACGTGGGAGGGTAGACCTACTGTGGGCGGTCCGCCCCAGGCAGGTGGTCCTGAGTTATATAAACAGCAGGCTACGGAGAGCACACCAGTAGCTTCTGCTCCTGGTTTTTGCTTCAGTTCCTGCCTCTAGGTTTTTGCCTTGAGTTCCTGCCTGATCATAGACTTGTAGCCTGTAAGCCAAATAAACATTTTCATCCCAAAGTTGTTTTTGGCCAGTGGTTTACCCCAAGAAGAAAGAAAGCAATTAGGACTCTGGCCATAAAATTTATTATCTGATTGTGGAATACTTTTGAGAGTGAAAGGGGATTTCTATTAATAACTTTACCGGAAGAAAAATCAGGTATTCCAGTCACTTGAATTTTAGAAGATGAAAGAGGACAATATTTTTAATTTTCCCAAGCACGTTTGAGTTTCTTGGCTTTGATGTTTGTTTCTTTTTTTGGTGAGGGTATATTGGCTTTGATCTTAAGGTTAAGGTTCAGTCAATATTTTCTCCCGTTCATCCGAATAATAAAAGATAAGCATTTGGTAATAAGTTACTCTTTAGAAGATAAAAGTGGGTGTGGTGGTGCATACCTGTAATCTCAGCCTTTAGGAGGCAGTGGCAGGAACATGAAGAACTCGCAAAGGTCGCCTCAGCTACATAGTTGGTGACTAACCTGGGTTATGTGAGACCCTGTTACACACACACACACACACACACACACACACACACGTGGGCGCGCGAAACAGAACAAGCAACACAAATGACCAATGATGTATATGAAAAAAAATGAAAAGTGTTTTTGTTTAGTCCAGTTAAGTTCCCCTTCCTCAGATAGAAATGTTACAGTAAAGTTAAAACAAAAACCATCAGAGTCAGGAAGCCCCTGTCCCAATGGCAATAAATAAATAATAAAATTAAATTAAAATAAACATATATATCTCCAGAAAGTTCTGATTGGTCTTCTTCCCTATAGAAAGAATTTTGAGGAAGAAGTGTTAAGGACCGTTATCTCTTGGGTAGACTAGGTCTGGAAGGAAGTACGTTTCCAATGATTGCAGCTTGTTGATGGCCACGCCCACTGAGTGATGGATTAGCTACACCTGCACTTCCAACCTTCAGTACTTTTCTAGAATCACTCATTCTCTGAGCAGGAGCCTCAAGGCACGTGAAGGTGGAAAAACCTCATACTCCTGAGTGACGAAACAGAAGAGGGTGGGACCTTATGGGAGGTGCGGCCTCTTAGGGGCGGAGCCGGCGAGGGAGGGGGCAGGGCGTCGGTCGGGGAGTGGGGCGCGCATGCGCGGTGAGGGGGCGGAACCGGGGCGGGGCTGTGAGCCCTGTTCTGAGAGAAGGCGGTGGTAGGTTTCGGGCTGCGTGGGGACGGCGGGTTCGGGTCTGGGGTGGACGCCACCAGCCGGATCTTGGCGGCCAGAAAACAAGTCCCTGCCGGTCTTCAGGACCCGGCAGCAGCCAGCGGGGCCGAAGCCAGGGTGCACAGCCCGGAGGCCGGGGCTGAGCAAGTGTCCGGGCCGGGGCGCGCCAGGTAGGTGGGCCGAGCTGGGCCGTGCTGGGTCCGGTGGTGCTGGGCTTTGCGGAGCGGGCTGGGCGGCTGGGAGGAGGAGACACTGGGGACCCGGCCGGGTGGCGCCCGCGGTTGTCATGGCAGTGGCACAGCCTAGCGGTTCGCAGGCTGCGTCTTTGGAGCGTGGTCCTAGACTTGCGGTCCCCTTGCCGCTGGCTTCTCGGGGCGATGCTGTACACCGCGCCCGCTGGCTGCATCTCTGCTGGATCCCATAGGCATCCGACTCTGAAGGCCTTGAGGTATCTCGGGTGTCAACACACCGGGTAAAAATAAACATGCATGTTGGTGGAAAATACGGACTCTGCGTCCTCGCAACTCTTCAAGCATTTTCCGTCCGCGCATCGTCCAGGACAGGATCTCCCCCACCTCTGCTTTATGTATTTTATATTCCTCTGGCTTTCTTAGTAAGCTAATTGAGGCCTGAGAGGTTTGCAGGGATCCGTGGTCGTCTTTTGCAAAGCCAGTCATGAATGTGTAGGCCACGGAAACACTCAAAATGTCAAACACAAATTTATATCTTTGTGGGCGAAGGGAGGGAGAGTTGATGGGCCTTGGTTTCTCTTGCCCCTTGTCGCCTGCCCTCTGACATTACATAATGGTGGGTTCCTCCTGCCTGGAGTTGACAGCTCATGAAAATGTCTCTCCGGGTAAGAAGGAAGTATTGGCCGTTGTAAATCTTTGCCTCTGAATGTGTTTGGTGTTGAGAGATTGCCTAAGAGTAGAATGTGATTTGTCACCTGCCAGTTAGGGCCTCTGAGCCAAGGGGATGGGGGTGGGGTGGCACGGAAGTTGGGGTGTTGCAGTGATATTCTGCTTGGTTCACTCCTGTGCCCCATGGGTTGTGTGGACAATGGGGACATCACAGGGGTGGGAATACAGCTGTCTGATCTGGGTGTGAATCCTGAAGGTTCTGTCACTTTGCTAACTCAGGTTCTCAACACCCTCATCTATAAGAGGTGCAAACAGAACCTCATTAGCTGAGTTTGTTTTGAAATCTAATGGCTGGTGTCAGGCAGTAAACAGCTATAGGTTGTCCTACTTAGCCTGGTTGTTGGGTGAAGACGGATTTTTTTCTTTGGATCTGGGCTGGGGCCCTTGTTTGGGGACTACTTTGACAAAAGGTTTTTCTTGGAAAATTCAGTTCGTTGAGGGGAACTGGTGCTCATTCAAGGAGGTCTGCGTGTCGGTCTGTACCTGTGGTGTCAGGAGATCGAAATGTTGTTTGCCTGTGTGTGAACAGCATTGCTAGGAGGTGTTCCCTGTGTCTTATCAACATGACATAGAAAAGAGTCAACGTCACTAGGATGGTCGCCTTAAAAACCGGACTTACTGGAGTGGATGTTGGGTAAATACAGAGCCGCCTGAGGGCTGTGTTCCTGCTGGAGAGCACTTGTCATCCTTCCTTAGCTGCTTGCTCTATCTACTTTTCCTTTCAGAATCTGCTCAGGTAATCCCCGGCTTTCAGGCTGACTCGGTTCAGGCCCCACATTATAGTTTATTCCATTGTTTTGGAAACTGGATACTTTGTAGTATTGCTGTTAAAATCAATATTGGTTGTTCAAAATCACCTTAAGGAAACGACACAGAAGTTTTGTATAAATGATAGGACACTGGAGAAGTGGAAAGTGTCTGGTCCTTTCCAGCTGCCTGCCCCGGAGAATTCTCAGCTAGCTCCTGAATGCACCAGAGGAAGGGACTAGGAAGCACTGGGGTCCAGCTAACTTCCCTCTCCTCCCCTATGGTTTAGGTCTCCAGAACTCAGAGTGGAGGGGAAACTTTCCATCAAGGCTCTTTTATCTTAGTTTGGCTTATTAATGAAAAACTCCTCCTCAGCCTCCATTTCCATTCCTCAGCATCATCAACTACTTAATGGTGTCGGGAGGCTTCGACTCTCACTGTAAACAGCACAGGTCTGCAGTCGAGAAAGCTGGATTAGCTCATGCTTCTTTTGCAGAACTTGATTGATGAGCAGAGACTGGTCCTGGGGCAGAGGCTCTGAGCAGAGCGTATGTTAGAGAGACAGTGTTTACTCCATGCAGGTTTGCTTCACTTTGCCTGTCTTTCTGTACTTAAAAAAGAAAAGGTCATCATGGACCAGCCCTTAGAAACCCCCAGACTGCTCCCTGCTCTTTTAACTAATATAAAGTATTTTCGGTGCCCTGGGTACAGTTTCTCCTAATGTTGGCATCTCACTGTGTCTCTGCTATCTTTCTCTCATGGTCATGCTCTCATGGGAGGTGAGGCTTCAAGACAGGGTTTCTCTGTGGAGTCCTGGCTGTCCTGGAACTCACTCAGTAGACCAGTTGGCCTCAAACTCAGAGATCCACCTGCCTCTGCCTACAGAGTGCTGGGATTAAAAATATATACCACAGCTGCCCCACTATTTTTTTTTAAAATAACTTAATCATAACTTGATGCCAAGTACCCTGTACCTCTAAATATTTCTAAATGGATTTCTTTCTTTTTTTAAATTTTATTTAAATTTATTATTTTTTCAACATGTTTTCATTGGTTCTTTGGGAATATCACATACATCATGCATTCTGATTATGCTTATTTCCTCATGTCTTCCCCTATCCTTTGTGACCTCCCCCAAGAATATAAAAAATAAACATTTAAAACAACAAAAAACCCAGGTCCGATTTGTGTCGTCTCTATACTCACTGGAGCATGGTCAAACTCCCAGTGGCCTGCCCCTTAAATAGTACATTCCCCTCCCTTTACCCGGGCCAGAAGCCATCAATGGTGGAAAGCTAACTTCAACATCTTTATCACACCTTTTAAGAGTTCTGATGGCTTCCTGTTTAGGCTGCCACTTTTGAGGAGTGGGGTGGGGTAGAGGTTGTCACAGAAGCCTCTGTCCCTTTTTCTCAACTACGTGTCTGCAGTCATTGATATCACTGCAAAAGTAGCTTCCTTGCTCTTTCCAGTCAGCTGGAGCGAGGGGGATCCTCTCAGAGGCAAAGGGGAGGGGGGATGGGGTGAAGAACTCAGGGAGGAACAACCAGGACATTTGGAATATAAATAAAGTAATTTAATAAAGAAAAAAAACATTCTGTGCATACAGTACTTAAAACCCAGGAAATGAACATTGATGCCCTGCAGTTATTTAATGCATAGGTCTTATTTAGATCTTAGAGATTGCTCCAAGGTTGTTCCTCATCTAAAAGATAACCCTACTGAATTTCTTGTCTTCGGTGGGTTTTGGCTATAGTCTCTTTCAGCAGTTCTTTGTTTAATTGACATGTTTGACTTGTTTGGAGAACTAACGTTTTAGATAACGCCCCTCAATTTGGGTTTCCTGATACTTGGATTCAGGTTGGTGCTTGTTGCAGGAGCAGCAGAGTTGCAGCCTTGTCAACTGGAAGATACTGCCTACTACCTCCTTAAACTTGACACTAGGCTTGTTAGCTTTGCTACATTGATGAGGATGGTGTGGGCCTCACTGAGAAGTTACATTTTCCCCTTTGCGATTAATATGTATCTCTCGGGGATGCAGGGCAGTGTTAGCCGCAGCTAGAGCCCATCGATTCCTTCTATGTGAATCTTACTAGAGTTGACAGGGATTTTCTAATTCCTGTTTCCTTCTACATGTATTAAAAAGGATACCTTTTCTTTCAGCCAGTATGCACTTACTTTTTAAATTACATCCATGGGCCATGACATGTTGCCTCATTTATTAAACTTTAATCTGTTGCTGTCTTTATTTCTTGATTACTCAGAGGTCCCAGAGTTGACCTTTAGGGCCTCTTTCTGTGAATGTGTTCCCATCATTCTTTAAGGACTTCTTTTCTATTCTGGCACAAAATATTTGAGACTCAGTTTATATTTTCCTTGCCCCAGCCTCAGAACCAGCTGTTTGCTGAACTCTTTTCTTTTCCTTTCGTGGAAAGTGGCTTTAGACTCCAAGATGCCAGCTGTAGTTGTGCTAGTGACGGTGATGTCATCGAGTTTATTCATGCTTGTATTTTCAGTGCGGGAGGTCAAACTGGGTTTCAGGCAGCCAGGGAAGCCCTCTGCCACTGAGTTCTGTTCATTACATGGCCAGTCTTTGCGTCATTGCCTCGAGACCTTTTCAGTAGACCAGTGCTCTTTTTAGAGCTGGCCCGATGGCTCAGCAGGTAGGGGCACCTGCTTCAGAGCCTGACAACCTGAGTTCTGTCCTTGGTGACTCAAAATAAATTAAAATGTGACAAGTTTAAATTGCAGCTCACATAAGCCTAAGTGTAGTCACATTACATACCATTTTCTGTGATTTGCTTTTTCAGTTTTGTGCTCTGTCCTGGAGTGCTCTGTACTGACATGATGAGCTTGTCCTTTTTTGAGAGTGGGGCTTCATGTTCCATATTCGGTAACTCAGACCCCTTCTGTTACCTGTTTCCCCTTAACTCTGCAACATTGACATCTTAATTCTGCCATTCTAATGGCCCAAACAACATTATTAGTTTTTACTATGTTTTCCTTTTTTTTTTTTTTTTGGTTTTTTGGGACAGGGTTTCTCTGTATAGTCCTGGCTGTCCTGGAACTCTGCCAGGCTGGCCTCTTACTCAGAAATCCACCTGCCTCTGCCTCTCAAGTGCTGGGATTAAAGGCGTGTGCCACCACCGCCTGGCGTTACTATGTTTTCCAAATGGCCAAAATCATTGAATTCCTTGGTATGTTAAGCTTTTTAGTTTTTCTGAATTACCTGTTCATCGCCTTTATCTGTGGTTTTTCATACTAGGTTGGTCTTATGTTACCAGAGAAGGTTTCTTGGCAGCTTTAAGTGTGAACTGTTAACCCAAGGAAAAGGAACCCAGCCTTTTCTGACCACATGCATGCCAGATCTAGGCTGTCTGTCCCTGAGCATCCTCTAGGAGGTCTTGTCAAGTGGTGAGCTTCAGTCTTGAAAGGACACTAGGGGAAGCATGGTCAGACACCTGCCTGATGGAGTTGACAGAAGCCAGGTGGGGTCAGAGCCA